AAAAAAAGTATTACTTACCCTACCACCCAGTACATTATAGTGGAATCGGGTTTCTTTTGGTCAGTACAGCTATCAGGAACACACTCAAACAATACACCATGTTCTTTCACTTGATTTAGGTCCAAATTTGCTTTTTGGGATTTTGATCTTTCCCCAGACTTTTTATTCTACAGTAGAACAAGGGCAACAAAATTAATATCTGAATTGGCAGTATAAAGAAGTATAGGAAAAAATGTTATATTGTATGTGATAATTCTGGAATATCTGGTAAATGGGGACTTTTACAAGTAGAAATCTGTCTAAAGAAATATATGTTTACCCAGCTGTATCTATTATGTTGTTGTAACAAAAGAACTCCCCTCTGCCCCTTCCCCAAAAGATAAGGATTTATACTTCTCTCAGCATAGTTTGTTGAAAAATGGAACGGATGGAAAGACAACAGCGATGGAAGTTCTTGATGAGCTGAGGATGGATAGTTCCACTGAGTTGTGCTACTTCAGCATGTGTTGGAGTAATAAAAATTCCATGCATTGTTTCTAAACAAATATAATGAAAGAGGGTATTTTCTGGACCTGAAGTCAACCTTCAAAAGCAAAACAACAAGACAACCGGATAAATACCTAATAAACATTATCAGTAATAAATTATATAAAAAGAAAAAAATCAGGACTTTTGATTTTCTATATAATGTAATAGTAAACATATGATAATTCTGTATTTTAATAACATAGTTAATAGTTAACTCATTAAAATATATACAGAATTCTAATGATGTTCAGAAGGTCATCTAATATACCATATCCCAGCATTGGTATACTGCATTAAAAAATTGAGTAACTTATACATCATATATGCTTGAAAGTACTTTCTAGAAAGCACTTATCATTAGAAAATAACTTACGATGTTCTTTAGTAACTAATGTAGGTAAGAAATTACCAGCCTTAATATTCATGAGAGCTAGTTTGGTGTAGTGGTTAAAGCATCAGACTAGGAACTATGACTTCTAGTCCCATTTAGGCACAAAGCCAGCTGGGTAACCTTGAACTGTTCACTTTCTCTCAGCTTTAGAAAGGAGGACATGGCAAAACACTTCTGAAAAACCCTGTCAAGAAAACTACTGGGGCTTGTCCAAGCAGACTCCGAGAATTGGAAATGATTGAACAGAAGAAAAAAAACACAATAGTTTATGTCCATATACTTGTCAGGTTCAAGATATATATTTACTACACTGTTGTGAAACATAATGGGATTGAGTAAATTTGAAAAGAATTCAAGTTATATTAGCAGTTATATAATGCTAATAATATGAACCATATATGTTTAAATTTATATGTTTAAACAATAAGATAAATGTTGATAAGATTTTTTTTTACAAGTTTACCAGGCTCAATCAACTTTGCAGTATGTGGTGGTAGTTCAAACCCAATACTGGTACAATAGTAGACTTTTTATTTTATTTTAATAAAGGTAATAAAGAATGAAAAAATGTATCAGCTTCATGTGCAGCTTTACTTGTGCACGCGAGTGGGTGAATGCATGCGGAACCTTCCTCTCCCCCCCCCCCATCTGCAAAGCTGGAAAGGTTGGAGACCGTTGCTGTAAATGGAGCAAATAAAGAGACTGAAAATGAGTACAGAACTTATATACATTACTGATTCAGTTTCCTGAGACTCAGGGGGATAGGGCCTGCATTTCAGGATCACATCTTACTTCTGTTACATCTCTAAAGCTCTCCCGTGCCAACAATTGACAAGGTCCTTCCCCCCTAAATGCCAATCTCTACCACCCATACAAAGAGGACAGTGGCTTTAGAGTTATAAAATAGAGCTGCTACTAGCCAGCAAGACCTATCATTAAGGATCACTATCTAGCTGCAGATTCCTCATTCTATTACAGTGTAAATTTATATCTTGATTCAATACTGAAATACAGGTTGACACATGTAGGTGAAAATAATAGAAAAAGTCCTTATACAGCATCCATGTTCAACATGATTTGAGGATTTGTTTGTGGAAATACACACGGTATCAGGAAACATCTTAATAAGAAAACAAAAATGGACTGCCACCTACATAACGTTATTCATTCCCCTTTGTCAATTCAGCAATTAAACCTTTAAAAGACATGGTATCAACAATATTTGATTGGAAACCTAAACTTAAAGAATATACAGCAATGGCAAAATCTGGCAATATGAAAGCCATTCCTATTTACATTTAGTTAAGCTTCTGTTAAATTAAATTTAAGCAAGAATGGTTTCCATATTTATTCTAAATTATGCAACACTATGTTATTTTTCTTTTTTTCTTTAACATTTATAGCATCTATAACATTTATAATGTATGCATAATAATTTACATTTATATATAATAATACAGGTAGTCCTGGATTTATGACCACTTTGAGCCCAACATTTCTGTTCCTAAGTGAGACAGTTGTTAAGTGAGTTTTGCCCCATTTTATGACCTTTCTTGCCAGAGTTGTTAATTGAATCACTGCAGTTGTAAAGTTGGTGATACGATTGTTAAATGAATCTGGCTTCCCCACTGACTTTGCTTGTCAGAAGGTCGCAAAAGGGGATCATGCGACTCCAACCATCATAAATATGAACCAGTTACCAAGCGCCTGAATTTTGATCATGTGGATGCTGAATGGTAGTAAGTGTGAAAATGGTGATGTTATTTTTTTAGTGCTGTTGTAACTGAACGGTCACTAAAAGAATGGCTGTAAGTTGAGAACTACTTGTATATCATGAGAAAACTATATATTCTGTGTAAGTTTGTTTTTTATTAACATTATATTGAACATTGTGTAACTTTAGTAATTATCCATTCAAAGATAATACCATTTTTGAAAATAATTCATTAAAAAAAGGATTTTTTAAAAAATCAGCAATGAAATGTTATTTTTGATGTGTCCATCTGCACATTTTCTAAGAAAATATAAATGTAGTCAGAAAAGAGATTTTATAAATACTATAAATAAATTATAAATAAAAACCTTTACTTCATAGCATTATATAATTCAGTTTCCTTATCTGAGACATTCTTTTTCAGGGTTCCAAAAGTAAATGGGTTTTGAAGAACAGGCTTCTTTTTAGTGATCTGAGAAAGAAAAAAGAACAGCTTACAATAAGAGTGAGCAAGCCTCAGAATTTACAAATGCCAAATGGTTATGTTTTCAAAATACATTAAACTGATAAAATAACCTGTTTTGTGAACAACGTTGAGTTCTTAAGTATTAGTGGACATGTCATGCTAGCTAGGAAAAAGGGCTGTTTTTATTGAAAAACATTTTTATAAACTAACACTTGAACAAAGCTGTTATTTATTAAATGATTTGTATTTGGGAAATATACAGAGTTCACCCAAAGTCTTAAACTGTATGATTAATAAACTATGCTGAGTGCATTCAACTTTTATTTAATTCTTAAGTCTAGAATAAAAAATGCTTATTCTTATGGGAGAAAAGACCACAATAGGAACTGACTTGAATATGGGAAGAAATGGCAACAAATAATTACCTAATTTTGCAATGATCATAGTCAGTTCATTCTAGAAACAGAATGACATAGCTATATCAAAGCTTTTGATATAGCTGTGTATATACTATTAGTACTATCTCCTACAGATTAATTTTTGACAAGTCATATTTGCTCTAGTTGTACATATAGGTGGGGAATGGTATAAAACTTTAATGAAACATAGAAATACTGAAGATATATGAACAATTTTTTCTTCTATTAAGTACTCCTGCAACTTCTTTTTTATAAATACAGAAAGTAAGCTACATTACTTATGGACATCATTAAGTGCAGCAGTTCAGTAAATAGATCATTATTTAAATAATAAATAAATCCACTAAGATTTTTCAATTATATATGGCATATGGATTAAATTCCATTTTTTCCTTCAGAAGTGTCATGACCATTGATAGGACACTCACAATTTCACAAGGGACTAAACCTAGGTGTCCTTAAGACCAAAACTCACTTTTTTGTTTGCCGGAGAAGGTACGATAGTTGACATATGATGCAGTTTGCTGAGAACAGACAAATTGGAAAAGTTCTCCAATTTGTCATATGATGAAGGGAAGAACCAATCTATGCAACACACCAATGGAGCAGAAGCTGTTTCTAATCTCTCATCTATGCTAAGATCTATTCCATCCAGCTGAAGGATAATTGATTTGACCTGGTCAACATATATGTAATCTGGTCCAGGATTTCCAATAGCTTTGGAAGAACAACCTCCTGCTTCCAGCAATGCACTCAGTATAAAATGCTTCTAAAAAAAAGGAGAAAAAAAACCTATTTCTGCCAGTGCATTTATTTTACATATGTATACTGCACTTATCAAAGATCCATTGTGCATAATAGGTTACATAAAATAAACAAACTTTAAAACTAAAAATCAGCACTCAAGAAAACACTTGAGAAAGAAAATTAAAAAAATAATTTTGAGAGTAAAATAACTTTTTCGGATTCAGTATTCTGAAGACAAATGAAATGGTCTATAACACATATAAATAAACTGTATTTCTACTTCTGTACTAGAATATGAAATGCATTTGTGCTCATGGGATAGCTGATAACCCTTCCCTTGTCAACCTTATGCAGATATTTATTATACAAGTTTAGTGACCACAATAAGGATCAGCAACTTGGTTATTATGTGAAGCAGTCGCTAAATGAAACCACAATTGTGTTTATTTTTTACTTCAACTTCCCTTTGCTTTACAGTCCTGCGAAGGTTATAAACGCAAGAGTTGGTCACAAAATTATTTTATTATTGACATAACTGTGAATAGTTGCTAAATGAGGCAGTTGCTAAATAAGGTCTACATAGATACTTAAAGCAACATGAATAGACAAAAAATACTAATTTTAACTACCATTGTACAAAGTATTTGATGTGTATATCACAACATGTCCTGGTATGGGCAAAGAATCCCTCCTTGAAGTGTTATAGGAGCTACATTTCTCCTATAACATTTTATGTTAAAGGATTTTTCCAATTCTTGAATGTATATACATGAGGCCCTTGCTTAACAATTGTCCTTTTTAATGACCACCTAAAGTTATGATGGTGCTGAAAAAATAACTTTACAATTGGCCCTTGTGCTTATGACCACAGCAGCATCTCTGCAGGACCAATATTAGGCACTTCACAATTGGCAGGCATTTATGACCATCACAGCATTCCATTGTTACATGATCACCATTTGCATAGTTCACAGTTGGCTTCCAAAAGAAGGGTCAATGGAGTAACTGGCAGTAAAATTGCAAGTTGTGGTTACAGGACCTCTCACTTAATGCCCATATCACTTAGCAATGGAGTTATCAGTCCAAATTATGGTCATTAAGTAAGATTACCTGTACATACAAAGCTACTTCACTCATAGACAGAGTAAAGTGTTGACTGTGCATGTGCTCATGGAGAAGCCATCAGAGAAGCTATAGTGAGTCTTCTAAAGGACATAAATGCCTTAATGACTTGAAGAATGGTACTCTGCTTGCCTTCAAAATTCTCTGCATCCCTTTGAAATGCTTTGCACAGCATTATGTAGACACTTGAAAGCTTGGCACAGGATTACATAGATGGAAATTTACTATATTTTCACTACAAGCTGCATTGCATCAGTTAGGAATAGCAAAGATTACACAAAGCAATATTCATGCTATAAAAACCTACCAAGCCAACAATGAGTAAGAAGTATCTTGCTATGGGTTCTTGGAATCCCTCATATGAAGTTTGAGAACTCTGAAGATGATGATGTGGAAATACTTCTCTCCATATTACTAACTGACCGATTCGTTGTTCTGCCGCTAAGGGCAAAAGGCAATAATGCCTGCTGTACAATGCAATATCAATAAGGTCCTCCTTCGGCAAGTGACTACTAATTAAATATCCCTAAAAAAAATACATTATTATACAGCCATGCACCAATTTTTTAGAGCCTCTTACATTGTAAATATTACATTAGTTCATTTTTTTTAAAAAAAAACTACTACATATTATCACAAAACTCAATCCAAACCAATTGAGTCATAAAAATTTTTAAATTAAGAATTGTCAATTTTTCTGATAATGTTGGTAACCATATTCAGATAAATTGAGTTGTACAAAATTAAAAACCATTCTTCCACAGCTCAGATATCTCAGAAAGGCAATAGGTTTGACAGTATATACATAGAATAAGAAAAACACCCAAACCCATCTTATGTCTTATTGTGATTTAAAAATCTTTTTTTCCTCGATTAACATCTTGTATATGGTTCAGTTAAAGTTGGTTTTGTTGTTTTAATGTAATCATTTTACCAGAAAGCAATACAGTTTGCAAAAGCTTACCTTGTAGAAGAGACATGAGCCTAAAAATGTATACTGTCGTCTCACATCATAGTAATCTTCAGACTATAAAAAGAAAGATAATGAAGTAAAACTTTTGGATTTTAACTGATCCAATGTATAGTTTTAGAATATTTTAAGAATAGAATATTTCTAATTTTGCCTTATTTACTTGACCAGCAGGATGTATAATTTGTCACAGAATATGATGCGGTATATTCCAAACCAACTGAACAAATACAGTGAATATGCCTAGAATAGAGTTTTGTACGGTTATCTGGAAACTTGTATGCCTGTGAAACCTGAGGAAGTAGAATGGACTTCAGGATTGTGAGCTCAACCTCCTGTTTATAAGATCCAGATCCTATCTCTGGGTCCATGCCGTGACATCTACTTCTTTGAAGGAGAACATTATCAGACAGCCTTGAAGTGTGGCCCTTTCTTAAGAAGGCACTGCTAGACCCAATGATTTTGGAAAATTTCTGTTTGGTCTCCAACTTTCCCTGTTTAGCTGGGCTTCAACTGCAGAAAATCCTGGAGGAAATTCATTACCTGAACCACTTTCACTCAGATTTCAGACTGGGTCACCAAATGGAGACAGGAAATGCTTGTGAATGACCTGGAGCAGAGCCATGATGAAAATAGTATGTCCATTCTTGTATTCATTGATTTCTCAGAGGCTTTCAATACTATTAATCAGTATTAAGGGTACTATTTTGTGGTGGTTCATTCCTTGTGCCCAATTTCAACTGGTGTTAATAGGCGAAATCGTGTCCTTAGCCTCTCCTTTGTAGGATGCAATGATCTTGATGCTCTCATTCCTTTTGTTCACCATTTACATAAACTGGGGGATTAAAATGAATTTATTATGACCCTACAATTCAAAATTGTACTTATGTTATATAGGCCTAACAGTTGTTACTGTGTGTGTTTGCAGTTAATAACAAGATTTGCAAGTAGATAAATGACCCATATGTTGGAAATAAATATTGAAATGTTTTAAAAAAGTAATTCATCTACATTTCTTTAATCAAAACATGAATGATTGGTATTCCATATTTTAAGACAGTCAGCCTATTTGGATTATCTCATCTTTTCCTACAGTAATTCACCTTTTCAGTTTTGTTCCTTTTCCTATAGGTCCAATTCTTATTAAACATGCTGCAATTTGCTGTTTTCCTTACTTTTTATCTCTCTTACAGAAAGAAAATTAGGAAAAAAATGAAAATGATAGTAAGCAGGAATAGCAACTATGTGGAATTTGGATCTAGGAAGAAGATGAACTTTTTTTTATGCGCCCCTCTCACCATTAATTCATCCTCTCCCTTTGAACTACATGACCAAAGCGAGAGTAAGGAAAAAGAGGAGCACAATGATATGACCAGTGCCTCCATTGTAGCACTGATGAGCTCCCAGTGAGGAATCCCAATTCTGGCTCCTACATGAATAACTGGCATACTACTGAAATTAGCAATTTTAAACTAATTTCTCTACTAAATAGATGAAGAACTATCATGAATGCACAAAACACCCAGTTAAAAATAAAATCTTTACCAATTCTGCAAATTCTGCTGCCTCCAGGTCACTCAGGGCTGCATCAATTTCTACCTAAAATAGATAAGCAGAAAACATTCATATGTGTTCATATACGTTTGTGTACTTTGTGTTCCCCTCCTCCCTATCTTTTAATAGTATGTATTACTGTTGTTATTTATTGCTTTCTTATTTTAATGTGTACTAGCTACCCAGAATCATCTGTGGACAAGATGGGAGGCACATAAATTAAACAAATAAACAAGCAAGCAAGCAAGCAAGCATGACTTTTGTTCCCGGTCTTGAAAAAGCTTCTTAATGCTGAACAATATCTCATTATACACAACCGCATGTGTTAGTCCAGAATAATTAACAAAGTAAGTATCAGCAAAGTGTTGGAAACTGCTGTAAGCTGAATCGAAAGAAAAATATACAATAATTATGGATTGCTTATTTTACAGATAAAGCCAAAAAATCATACTTTTTAAGCCTCCAATGCATTGCTTAATGCATTGACTCTCATGCTAATGAATTACAAGGCACAACGTTTCCTTGAAATGTGGCATAGTACCTAAACGAGTTATTAGAAAAATCTTTTTCACTAAATCTTTAGCCTTTGTCTCTATGGAATGTTTTTCACAAATTTTCACAAAGTATCTTAATTCTGCCTAAGAAATCATTTTTATTTATATAACCTAGTAGTTATCCCCCAGATGTAAAAATATTGTCCATTTTAAAATTTGTCAGAAAGCAGAGACACTGTACAGTAGTCTGAAAAACAGTTCTTAACCAATGTTGCCAGAATTGTTAGCCACAGAGCTAGTGCTTATTCATTTCCTCTGTTCTTTTATGTCTGCAACTGAAAACAAATGACATTTCCCTATTTTGGGAAGTCACTTTTTCTTACTTCTTATTATAGATATATCATAACCTGCCATTTTATAACAGAATAAGCCACTTTTCTGACATGGTCTGTTGTTTCTTGAAAACCAAAAAAACCCCAAATATTGAAATGTCATACCACAACAGATTCTGTCAGAAATGTATGAGGCCAGGAAAAGCTTTAAATAACATTTTAAAATTGTCCCAGTCTTGAATAGCTAAAACATCATCTGCTTCAAGAATGGGACCTATATGCTGATTCCAGCTTGTCAGTAATTTCTATGTAGAAATATATTATGCATACATAGGGAGAGAAAGAGAGAGCGAACATTGCAATAATACAGGTTTAAAAACATAAACTTTTGAAAAATATTATACGGATCATGTATTATTCTGTGAAAAAGCATCCTGAGTCTGAGTTTTTACTTATTTTGCCACTGAATGTTAACATAGTTTCATGTGGATTCTATATAAAGAATCCAAGTAAACAAACAGCACCAACAGCTGTTAGTTCTTTCATTCCTTTCATGAACAAAGAACTGCAACATGGGATAAGCTAGCATGAAAACCTAGTTGCCCTTTTAAGTCTATAATAGATTAACTATTTTAGCTGCAGTAACTACAATCAAATCACCTCATTATATGAATATTCTGATCTCTTCTTTCATAATGCAGTGCTTCAACTCAGTCATATGTGAGGGTTTACTTGCATCAACTTATTCTTTCAGATCCTACAGCAACATTCCCACTTTGTTCAGGTCTGTGCTTGACTATTCCAAAACTTGTGTTTTGTTTTTGTTCATTCATTCTTTCTTGAATGCATGGGCACATAGTCATGCAACAAGCCACACTGGTAGTTCAGGTTCAACTGGCAAAAGTTTTGTACAATTTTCTGATAAAAGGCAGATTGATAATTTCTACAAAGATCAGAAATCATTTAGATCCTGAGGAAGCAAAGCATCTCCAAACGATGACACTATGAGTTTCATGCTTGATAGCTGTTATGAAAATCTTATTATGGAATGCGTGCTTGCAAGACACAATAATACTCATGTAGTCCAACATTTTTAGTTTTGATTTGTCTATCCATACATCATTCCTCCAGAGGTTGGATCTGGGTGCTATTTGTTAAGCTTAAAAGTAACATTAATATTTTTCTTAATGAGCAGTGGCTTCTGCCTTGTAACTATCCTATGAATTTCTATTAGGCATGGCATGCGCTCTGCACATTACCAACTAAATATTCAGAAGTACAAACTGTCGGGTATATGCTATTTGGAGCTACAATTCAGGAGATGTGATCTAGTATATTATGACTATTTGAATTTACTATGGTAATTCATATATATGTTAGCTAGGCAACCTGAGGGGTGAAACAAAACTGAGTCAGAATATTTTGGCACACGAATGAAAATGTCTATGTGTATCTTGGTAACTTCAATTAGACTAATGTCCAATTTTTTAAAATCTGTAATCAAACTTACTTTAATATTTGGGGGCAGCAACAGCCATCGTACTCCTGGAAAGTTGTATAAAAGTAATGAGCTGTTATCATAGTGGTGAGAACCAGGGTTGGCATTGGAGTTGGTATGCTGAAGAACTTGCTGGAAAAACAGGCTGAAGAAGTAATCCAATCGAGAAGTATTTCCTGCCTGACAAAAAGCACTGAACAAGCAAACAAAAAGTTGGAAAAAATGAGAAATATGCTAGCTCTTGCTATAATCTGTCTACCTAGCAGAAGATATTTTATGACATGATATAGGAAGATTTGAGAAATCATAAAAAAAAACAAAGAAGGAGAGAGGTACTGGATAGTATGAAAAAGAAAGGAAGGAAAATTTAGTTGTAGACACTTTTAAAATCAATACAAGTTATTTTAAATTTAATCATTCTCCCATGTGGAATGCTCTGATTATTGTTGTTCTGGTAAAGTATGATTCAGTATTTATAAGCTAAATATATCCATGCTCTTTTATGAGTCAATATTACTTAATATGAAAGAATATGTACATGACTTTCAAGATGCTTTCACTTTTACATTGTTTAAACTTTGTTTAGTGGCTATGGCATAAAGGATAAAAATTCATGTACTAGATGATGTTGAGGTTAGAAAAAGCTTCTTGTTGAGAAAAATATTCTATACACAGGTCAAAATGTGTAAGAGCAGATCTCTTTCAGATTCTAAATGGAGCTTCTGAAACAGTTTGCGATTCCAATAGGAAACTGATCTTTAAAGAATGTAAGGGGAAAAAAATTACAAATAAAATGACTGTGAGCAACTTGCTTTATTATGAAACACTGAGAAAGTATAATGAAATATTTAACTTGGTATATTCAGAAATTCATCTTTATGTTGCTATTTAAAACAGAAGTATATCTAGCAAACAAAGCTACACTTTATCACCTCAGAGTTTAAATAATTTGAATTTAATTTTTCAGTTTCCCATTCTGCAGAGCAAATCACATGTGAAACCGACAGAATTTTCAAGCATAATTCAAATATGACAACTAGATCTGTCCATTAAAATAAAATCCTACAAGTACATTTTAAACAATGTAAGTATGCAACCGAATCTAAAATGCATAGGCTTAATTACCATGGTCCACAATTGGAATGCTTACCTATCCAAGGAGCTGTACATGAATGTCAATGTGCTCACAACATCTGTAATCATGTTCCTTAGCTGAGAGAGAGGTACACTAGAAAACCAGAATAATCCTTTAGATAAATTTTCTAACAGAATAAATGCATATAACGGAGAAACATAAAATAGGAATAGCACACAATCCAGTGTCATTAAAAGCAAATAAAAGGACATGAACTAATTTTGGGGGTTCTAATTTTAAAATATTGTTATCCAGTAATAATTTTATTACACGCCATAAGAGACCAGTTATATTTTATAACAATCATCTTAGAATAGTCTTTTGATTTTAGTAAATATTTATGAATAATTTTAGGGACCAAATTTATGTAGCGAAAAAATTAAAAAGGGAAAAATATGGAAATGTACCTTTCAGCTGGAAGGCCAATTATGAGCAACTTGTCAGCCTTCTTCCAATAAGCCACATGGATCAATTTCCCACATAAAAACATAGATGAACTATAAAAAGTCAACAAAATAATCAAGAAAATATGGTCATGCAATTATATCATTACAAAAATGTGTCAGCACCATGCATAAAAACTCAGTTTCTTTCCTATTTTAATTTTTAGACAATACAGTTAATTGCTAAAATACTTCCCATCAGGGTTTTTTTTTTATTATTCTCCTATATGTATATTATCTTAATAGGCAGCTTGGACTATACAAGTAACATAACAGATGCCAAGCCAGTATGATTTGTCATATAATTCAGTGTTGACAACTTTTGATAGTCAGGGTCATATTTAGAATTCTAGGAGGACGGGAGCATGTACAATTTATTTATTTTACAATACTTAGCTTACAATACTTAACTAGCTCTTATGATCCCAAATTGTTAAAATACAAAAAAACCCAACAATAAATATAAATAACAATAACTTGCCAGCCTATTAAATAATGTTCAACAACATTAAATTTGATTTGATGGTCTTTTTTAAAAAATGATATGTCTATTTTAGGGTATATAGTATATTATTTTCCTATTTCTCAAAAAAACAGGTAATAGTTTTCAATAATCATGGTTTATGAGAGATCAAGGACAGCAAATTTAAAGCAAAAATATAAACTTATTAAATTCTAAAAAAAGAGATCAGAAATCTGGTGGTGGTGGTACAAGAATGATAAATAAGAACGATACTTGCCTAATTATTTGTGTTCCAGTCAAGTTTTCCAGTATGTCACATAGCGTGAGAAATATTCCTCTTACACTTTTTATTTTTTGAGATGCTTCTGACATGGGATATTGGTAAAGAATTTCTTGCTGTCAAAGAAATGTCAGTTTGTGTATCAATTAAGAAAATTACGGGAAAATCCGTATCCATAATTAAAATTGATCTTTCTTGATTTTGTCTAAAAATCTTCACCAGAGAAATCTATTTGGCATGTATTGTAAAAACCCAAATTCAAGAATAAAGGCAGCATTCCTTGGGAAATTTGTGAACACAATTTGCTAGTACATTTCATTACTGCTGATTTTATAAATATATATTATTAGATGATTTGCTTCCTTTTTTAAATTTTATAATACAGTCACTTGTAATTAAAAAGTTTTTAATTGCAAGCCATGTTAAAAACGTAACTGTTTTGTGAAAATCAAGAGACTATACATTATCTTATTGAATTCAAGTTTTAATATGAAACTCCACTTTAGTGGACCAAACAGGTGTCTGCTAGTCCCCAAACTCTCCAAGTGACACTACAAAATTATGTAAATCAATACTTATGACGTCACTCTCATTGGTGAAATGATATTTTTATACACTTTGTTCGGCTACATGTGAAGTCTGTTGCATCAAAATTCAGAAAACTGAGATTATAATACTGACATTTCAAGATATAGAAGAATTCCTCCCAAACCGCCTAAATATAGTCAAGAATTTTAAGCCAATTTAAAACCCACTTTGCAATTTTTCTCTTTTAAATTATAGATCCTCAAGCTATTTATAAGTTTCTCATGGCTACTTAGAGATTCTAGGCTGGTCCTTTTTTTAATTCCATCCCCAGGTTCTGCCATTCTTTTTTTCTTAAAATTATATATGATTCTTGCTCTTTTCCTAATTTCCACAGTTTCTTGATAAAGATTTTTATTTTCATTGCTTTTTTGTTGTATTTCTGTTTGTCTGATTATTGGTCATCTTTCTTGTTGAAAGGCAGGATATATGCACTATTTTAGAAATATATTCCTACCTCATCAGATGAATCAGATTCCAAGTTAAGTGAGAGATACATTATAATATGTGGTATACTTTGCAGAGAGAATTGCAGATCATTATTATGGTCTCTCCACAGCAGCTTCACCAAGTTGCTTTCAGAGGATTCTGTCTGTTTATTCCTTGACTGAGATGTTCCTGTTGGTTCAAATGCTGCTATTTCAAATGTAAATTTCACCTATTAAAAGAATTAATAATATTTTCACTGGGAATAATTTAGATCTTTAGAAATGTTTTCAAGACAGGTAGTAGGTTTAAATATATACAACAGCTAGGATCAGTAACCCATGGTTTTCATAAATATAATGAAATAATTAATCCAAATTATTCACTATTAACTACAAAAGTAAAACCTGTGATAGCAAAGACTTGAAGTACACACAATTGTATAATTTAAATGTAATCTACTTTCAGATTTTTTTAAAATAGAGTATAGACATTTTTTAAACAAGTTAAATTGGAATCACCAAGTGATATTCAGTATTATGAATTACTGAATGATATCTGTTTTGCTTTGTATTTTTTGTCTCACTGTGATAAACATCTCTTAATGTAATTATTATTGGTTCATTAACTTTATGATTTGATTTTCTTCAAATAAAAGTTGATCTTCAGCGCCTATGCGCCACCCATTCCTATTATTCATCTGTGCATTTTTCACATTTGTCCCTATATTGTTATGATTACTTTTCAAATCTTCATGACCATTAAGCTTTTTAAGACTCTATATCACCAATTGAGAGAATACAGTGCCATATTTTCAAGTTATATAAGAGTTCCTCCCAAATCCTCTAAATATAGTTGTTGTAAATCATGTTTACAGCTGCATTTGATTATGGAACTATGTCAAATGGTAAAAAAGGCATCTCTCCACTTTAGGAGAGTGAAATAAAGAAAATAACAAAGATCATACCTTAACTGCTCAGGCAACAATATGTCTGTCCAATCTTTCAGCTTAGTGCTAAAAGTTTTAATGCCTCTCCCTGACCCTATTCCTGTCTTATTAAATTTTAATCTAGGTAGGTAGACAGGACCAGCTGGAACAGAATACAGTCATTGTTCTAAACATACATACCTTGAAAAAATATATATGAAATATATATTTTATTTTCAAGATCACCCAAATTTTATCCTTTTTAGTTAAAGGAATACGACTAGAAAAGAGCGTGAGAGAATCATGATAGTTAGCAACTAAAATATGTGCTCTCTTCTGCAAATCAGTGCCCTGGCAACACCTTACTTTTGTCAAGGATTACAAAGAAAGCTGTGTTTCGTGTATGATTCATATAGAAAACTAGTATAAAAAAACCTTCATGTTTGCATGCTTGTCTAAATTAAAATCAACTGAAGTATACCTGCATAGGACCAGGAATACAAGACAAAATCCTTTCTATATTTTCAGAGTTTACATCAACATCATTTACAGCAACAAGGACATCTCCTGAAAGCAAAAGAAAAAGCAACATTAAGGAAGCAGACAAAATAAAATTCCAATGACTAGAATGTTTCTAAATAACATTTAGGCTGATTTATACACATGCATTGAAGATTAATATTTATTTCATTTGAGACACTTATATACAGTATGTAACTATCTGCTCTCTTTGCTTCCGTTTTCAGCAATGTATTTGTTCTAAGAGGATATGAGTAACCATCAGTTCCAAATACTTTAGATCTAATAAGAGGTTTCCTCTTTCAGCCACAAAATCTTCTAATTTTCTCCTCAGACAACTGCCAGGTTTTTTTTTCTTTTTTTGTGGGCTGGGAATCATTTGTCAATTTGGAGTCAAAAGGACCTTACTAGAGCAAAAGTAAAAACAGATCGGCCTATAAAAGAGCAACTGCTGTATTAGAATAAGATAGCATGCTTTCCAAAGTGCTAATCTGGATTTAAATAAAATTAGTTATTAAAAAATCTGCACTACTCAATTTTTCCTTTGCCTTAGGTCTTTATGAACATTCTATAAAAGTAGAATTCACTGTCAATAACGTATGTTTATTTTATATCTCAGGTGCTTAAGGATTTAATTCTAGCTAGCAATCAAGAGTTAGCCTGTTTGCCAAGAGATACCATATCCTTACAAAATAGAAGATAACATACTGTATCCTATTCAAAATATTTTCAGCTATATATGCTCTTCCATTTTTGTCAAAGAAAACAAATAGGATTTTTCCTTTCTTCCTGCTATCCTACACATCATACCTATATCTAGGTAGGTAAGAGCTGCGGTGGTGCAGTGGTTAGCAATAATATATCCTCCTGCTCCTAATATCTATTGCAATTACATTGGTTGCTTTTGTGTGTACTATAAACGGAGAGTTAACAACAAACTTCTGATCAGGGAAAAAATATTATTAAGGCCCAGAAAAAACATCTATCAGGTATACTTCTTGTTGAAATTTAAAAAAATGTTCAAGATGTGATTTGATTTCCTAGTACAGTATGTTCTTGTTGTATTATGTATAACATGTGAAATGTTTTATTGTTCAAATAAGACTAATATCTCTCAATCCATGACATATTCCTTAATTAGAAGACCAATACCAAATTTGAAATAAGCCCTTCCATCTTGGTTTTGTCAGAAGTGTGTAAAATATTAAACTTACCAATTAAGATTTGTCCAGATTTTATTGCTGAGCTTCCAGGGATCAAACCATGTACTATAATTTTTTCTTCATTAGTCCTTCTAGATTCAGTAGCATGACTATATTTTTCAGCTGTTCTCCATGGTGATTGGTGGACAATTCCTATTAAGGATTCTAGAAGTTCAGGTTGGTTCCCTGTTGTAGCATTTGAGGTTTTCTGTGGATTTACATAAATGTAGATGTCTTTGTACAGCTGTTGCTCAACATCTCCCATCTTATGACAAGAATGGTATTTCAGTATGGATGCTGGGCCATAATTATGGATACAGTTTTTACTCCTTGCTTTCTTCTTTTCAGAATGCCTCAGAAGACCTTTATTCTTTAATAAACTAGTAAATTGTTGCAATCTATGTTCACTCTTCCTGTCTTTTATAGCTTTCTCATGAAAAATCTCAGCTTCATTTTCACTAAATGTCACATGGTTCATCATAGATCTAGCAAGAGAACCGCTGTGAAGGATGGTTTCCTCTTCATCCTCAGTTAGTTCTAGGTAGAATAATTCTCCATTTTTCTGTACACTATCCAACCACTCAGGTTCAATGTCACTATGAACAAGATGACAAAAGTATATTTAATTCATAATTAACATAAAAACTGTAATGAAGTGCAGAAGAAGACCAAGAAACTATCACTCAAAAGATTTACTGCTTGGATGCTTCAAAAGCATTGGATACTGAAACTGACACTTTTGGCACAACATACAAACAGTTAGATTAGTTATGATAGCAATGGTTTTGAATATTGATCATGATTTTTAAAATATAAAATGTGTATGTGTGGAGGTTGGCGGATTCTAATCTGAGCGGTCCTTGGTGGTCTCTGAGTTTGTTTTTTTGCAGACGTTTCATTACCCAAACAAGGTAACATCACTGAGTAGCACTGGTGATGTTACCTAGTTTGGGTAATGAAGTTCTGGAAGAAAACAACCAAGCTCAGAGAGCACCAAGGACCTCTCATTTCAACCCTGAACTACATGTATTCTCTTTTATTGGGTTATAATCTATTCTGCTGCACTGGGCATTATAATAACTTATGTCATTCATTTTAGTGAAATTCACCATAACAAATCCTTTTTGCAAATTAGGAATTCAACATTATTACCTATCTGCATACTTCCCAATATAATCAGGAATTAGCAGTTTGTCTAAATGCCAGCAGATTGGTTCTGATCTAATCTTGGATAGAATGCTGTTCAAAGGAGGAAGCAGCAATGGAAAAGACTTACCTTTGTGTTCTAATGGAAACAAAGTTTCAGTTAAGTTAAACAACACTTAAAAGGATGCCTTCCCCACTAATCATATTGGATGGGTGACGGTGATCCCATTTATATTCAGGTCCCAAACCATATCAGGCTTTTAAGGTGACTACCAGCACTTTTAATTGTACTGGAATCTGTCATCTACCAACACATGGGTTTCCGAATTTTGGACTAAAAGCAGCTTCCAAATAGATTTCAAGGGCAGTATTATTACAGTAAATGTTATGGGAGGTAACAAGGAACATGTCACAGTGCCAGGATTTCCTTCTCCAGGAAATGATGCAACTGACATGCCAGCCAAATCTGGACAAAGTCTACTCCAGGAATAGCCTCTGTCTGTCGTTTCAGTATTATCCAAAAGTCTAGGACAACTCTCAAGTATATACCTGCTTTTTCAGAGAAAGAGCTATCGCTTCCAAAGTTACCATTAGGTTATAAGCAAACTGAAGATAGCATTCCCTATAATCCAATAGTGAATTCAATTTTAAATATTCCATATATTATATGGAAAACATTGTTAAATCTTTGCAGATTGCTAATAATTGTCTGAGAGAGATGCAGCACTCTTTTTGCTGCATTAGATCAAACATTTCAAATTGTGTGATGTGTGAACAGAACTTGTATTTGTTTAAAACTGGATTAGACTGGTATCTGAAGGTATAGGATTATTGCTGCATACTTCTATTCGGATGAAATGTTTCTACTTTATGCATTTAGCCGCCCAGATATGCTTGACAGTGAGATAGGTGGCATGTAAATTTAATAAATAAAATGCATTCCTTGCCACCAGCAAAATGGACAATTGATAAAAGGAGACAAAACTGGTGTTCTGAGCATGTAGATTTTTTATTTAGTATTTAATTATTGGTTTGGGATTAAAAGTGAATATTTCCCAGCTAACAAGCCAGGACACTTCCCCATTCATTCAGAATATAAATGGGGCAAATTCTCACTCACCCTTTCAGATACAATAAGCTAGAAAGAATGAAGGCCTTCCAGAGATGCAAAAAATGACTTCATATATCCTATGCTGACATGTCAAGCTGTTCGTTGGGAAGAAAAGGGCCAGAGAATAAAACAACCTAAGACATAAATCAGTAAAGTTCCTAGATGGAGGCAAATGAAAAGCATTCCATTCAGGAAATTACAATTCCACACTTTGCGCGAACTCTGTTTCCAAAAGCAACAAAGAACAGCGCATTTGGAAAGTTGTCATCTCAAATCATTTATTTCTAACTCAACTCCCTGCCCTCCGGGAATCAGCACATGCGCAGACAGAAGGTCTTAATCGGTCGCAAAAGCGGGAAAGAAGCTTTCTCCTTACTCGGAACTGCTGGACAATGACGGAGAGCAGGAACCGCTACCCTGAGTCGAGTCACCGCCCTTAGACTCGTCATAATCCTCTCGGGGAATCTCAAAAGGCCGACGAGGCAGCACCGTTTTCTCCATAACAAGGACAACTCAATTTCCTCCGAGATCCCTACAACTCTCTGCCGCCATGACACTGACTTCCGAAAAAAGCAGGACGTCACCTTCTGCCGCGTCTTGATTGGCAAAGGCTGGGGAAACCATGGCGACCAAAGACGCGCTGAGAGAACTGCGAGGATACGCTCCGCCCCCTCTCCAAAAACTCTCCCTGAAACTCCTAAATCAGATAGTATTTAAACACTAGCAGCGTTTAGCTTCCCTTCTTCGCTTGGCATTTTGCCTAGATTTTTAATCACCTTGCCGGAATTATATTGCATTCTTGGAATCTCAAAAGCCTGCACACTGGTTTGTAAGCATTCAGCCTGATAAAAGAACTGTCTTCAAAACGCAACTCTGCCCTTATGGTGACCATGGCATCATTTGTCTTTGAGAGCAAAGATTATTTATTCTAATTCTTTCTCAAAAGCCACCCTACCCTTGATACCCCCCTTAAGAATTGCTGTTCAAGAATATGCATGTTAACTCAGAAGTAATCCCAAGGAATCCATTTATTTATAAGGGATTTCTAATGGTCAAGTAAAATTGAAGACTACATTTTTCTGGCTTAAATCAGTGTCTCAACTAATTAACCTCTGCTTTTTGAGGGTGGTCGTGGTAGTTTATTTTCAAACCAGTCTTGAACTTTAAATGCCTTGCTGGCCTCCATTCTATGTTCATTGCACAGGTCCCTTTGGATTTTAAAAAAAGATTCCATACCTTAAATCATATTTTATTTGGGACTATTTCTTATTAGCTATCCCCAGAAACACAAAGTAATCATTCCCTGACACAGAAATAGTTAGGAACTGTCTTCTGCAATTTGAAAATGAATGTGTTTTTTTTTCTCCCTCTGGTACTGAATTTTGTTTTGCATTGTTATTTATTATATTAAGGCTTCATACTTTTAACCTTATTTATGTAATTCAGCTCAGACATATTTTGATTAGAGCAGCATATTAGTCTTGTAAATCAATCAATCTCCAATTAATATTCAAAGTATACATTTAGAAACCTCTCCAAAGTGATCACTGGTATAAATTGTGTTACACGCATGCATGAATATGTACAAGAGTCTATCTTACAATGTGCTGTATCAGGACAAAAATTAACATTCCAAAACTTGTCCACTAAACAATATTATGTGATACTTAGATAATAAGCATTACCTTTTTCACTATCTGAAAGGCAAACAATTCTGCTATGGAAGAAATCTTTTATGTGGGAAGTTTAGTTGACAGTTTAAGATTTACCACATCAATTTTGTGTGGAACTAAAAAAGAAAGACGCCTTCTGGAATTAGTGTAATATGATGTGTAATGTAAATAAACTCAGTTGCAAATTGGAAAGGCAAATGCTCCCCAAAGCGGCATTGAAAGACTCCCATTGTTTACTCAGAGTGTTGTTATCCCTTTACATCTGAGACCAACTAATACAGATTAGCAAAGTAGAAATCTGAAGCACAGCTTTTTTTCCACTGTCAATCTCCTTCTTTCACGAACTTTCACCTTTACCTGTGAAGCAGGATGCTCTGAACCGAGTCTAGGTCTTCTAAATTCCGCGTTACCGGCCTGGGGATTCTCTGCTTCGTAGCGCGGAACATGGTGCTGAAGAAGCAAGCGCCTCTTCATTACCTGCCTCCAAAACGGCGTCCGCAATATTCATCGAGTTTCATGTAGGACGTTGCCGATCATTCCCCTAGGAAAATAATAACAACTAAGGAAGGACCAATGTGGAAGTCGAAAGCTATAAAGCTTAACAACCCCTGCCGGGAGAGTTGGAGAAAAACTACGCTCCTGTGTATAGCGCCTCCGGTGAGCTCCTCCTCCTTTAAAAAATCTCGATTTAGCACTTTTTGTCGAAGATGTCAGACTCTTTGTAAGCACGGAAGAAGCTTAAGCTTCCGCGCTCACACAGAAATTCTTCTGCAGATAAAAAAAAGAAAAAAGCCCATTGCTCTAGCTCAGTGCTTCTGAGCCTTGGCAACTTTAAGACGAGTGGACTTCAACTCCCAGAATACCTCAGCCGGGGAATTTTGGAATTGAAGTCCACCCGTTTTAAAATTGTCAAGATTCAGAAATACTGCCTCTAAAAAAACAGGTGGAGCCTTTCAGTCCTGTCCTTCTTATATTATTCTCCTGAGTCTTACAGACTTCCTAAATCTTGTTAACTTAGTACGTAGTGCTTTAGGATTAGAGTAAAAAGATGCAATGTAGTTTAACCAAGTGTCAGGGCCATCCCAGGGACACTCAGTTATAAATAAATATATCAGAACCTACAGAAATCATTTCTTTCATTTCACTCACATGGCATTGTTTAATATTATATACAAATATTGAAACTTTACTGATTTTAGCATGATACAGTTTTATACAGTTTCATATATTACCATATACACAGGAATAGATATAAATGAGATAGAAATCCTTGACTAATTTCAATTCACCTATGTATGTTCTCTACTGATTAATTTGCATTTACACTATTTATTAGATTGATACTCTACCTTTCATTCAAAAACTATAGGTGGTATTTACATCTCTCTCTTCCACTTTATTCCTTGGCAATAATCTAGTGAGAGGGAGCAAGGACTACCATTCTCCCCACTGCATGCTTCTGAAATTCTTGAAGGCTTCTAGTTAGCCATTATATGCCAGATTAAATTAAAAAAAAAACTAATTCAATGTCTTTCTTTCCTTTTGCTCTTAAAAATAAGGCCCTTATTCAAGTAATGCATTCAGATTTAGTAATGTGAACATTGTGAAGATGCCCCTCTAATATGCAAATCATACTGGTGATGAAATGAAGATTTGATTCAAGGAATACTATATTCCAGGGGTGTCAAACTGCCAGCCCACGGGCTGGATGCGTCACACCAAAACCACACCCAACCCATTGCTGGCAATGGAAAAAAAGTCATGATATGTTGCGACACGTCACGTGATGTCGCAAGTCTGACACCCGTGCTGTATTCCCTGACTGCAGTGAAAGTGGCTTCAAAGTCTTCACTATGAAAGATACTAGCTCATGTGGAAGTTTTTAAGATCTTCTCCATGCTTGATCAAAGTGCTTTCTTCTCTTCTTATTTTTAAGAGCTAAAAAAAAAGACATATGAACCAACAAATATATGTATAAACCAACAAAATACTAAACCAGCATAGATCTTTCTGTCCCCATTGCCAGTTTCAAATACTTTCAACTTGTCCTGCAGCCCATGGATGAAGCATTCATTTTCTCTACAGGGAAGTCAGTAGAAGGACTGACTTCCATAGTTTTGATAAAAAGTAAACCTGCAGGTTTACCCATTTGTCAAAACTTGCTTCTAAGGAGAGCTGGACAAGTCTTTTAAAAATAGCCTCATTCAATAATTTTTATCTATGTGTAAGCAAATGAGACAGGATTTTAATTCCCAAATGGCAGAAAAAAATGTTAAAATTACTTTGGTTTATTGTGGATGTTCTTTTTATTAAAATACCTCATAGTAGCAAATTCTATAAATTTAATTACATGTTGTATAAAAATATTTCCTTTTGTCTGTCCTGATTATTCCAAGATTCAGTTTTATTGGGTGCCTTCTGATTCTAGTATTTTGGGAAGGGGAAAATAGCTTCTCTTTGCCCATTTTATCTATACCATATATAACTTAATGCATCACTGTCATGGTCCCTCTCATTCGCCTCCTAAACTAAAAAGTCCCAAATGACACAAACTTTTCTCATCTCTTCATCTCGTTGATCATCTTAATTGTCCTTCTCTGGATCTTCTCCAGCTCCACTACATCCTTTTGGAGATACGGTGACCAGAACTACATACAATATTCATGAATAAAGTCATACCATTGATTATATCAGGGCATTATGATATTGGCATCTTTCTTTTCAACATCATTTTTCATTATCCCTAACATGATCTCTTTTCTGATCAGTCAAGGCTAGCTCTAATCCCATTAGTTGTATGATCCCATTAGTTTGTGTGGAAGGATCTGGAGGTGTAGAGGGACAATGGAAAAGTCTAATCTTTGACTTGCTCTGCCCTTGAAGAAAAATTCTCTTCTTGCATCATGAAATAAAACTTAGACCATTTTCTTTAGCTAAATATAGGATGCACTCTTTGTACAATATATAGCATATTGAAGAGTTATATTTTTTCTCCTATATGTTTCAGAGCAAATGATTAATTTTTCTTTTTATTTAGAAGTAATTTTACTATTATCTGCTCAACAGAAATATGCTGTCTGGAGTCCTTCAATATATATATGTACTATTTAGAATGCATGCCCCAAAAGTGCTAAAAACAGATCTAAAGCAATTAGTCTACAGATTCAAAAGATTTGCTATGCTTCTATTTTTCTGCAGGGTTAAAACTTATTTACATTACTTAAGCATTATTGTTCCACTCTATCTGAAGTAATATTCAACCCAAAAGGGACTGTTCATTGAAAAAAAATGTAACCAGTGAATGTTTAGTAGAAAGTAAACTTGTTTGGACTCACATTTTGTGCACATTTGAGATATGTCCACTATCCAGAGATAATTTAGAATAAAATCACATATTTCTAATTTCATGCAAAGTTGATTGCAGAATCATAAGCACATGTGGGAAATTCAAATTTACTTTTTGTGAATTAATATATTACTCTTAACAAATGCTAGTGATTTTTCTCTGTATTTGAATCTGTAGGTTTATCAGCTCCACCTAGTGTTGGAACAGAACAGAACAGAAAATAAAACTGTTACGTTTAGATTCTAAATTGTAAAAGGAGTATGAGATCAGTTAAATTTATTACGGACACATGATTATAAGTGAAAAGTTAGGGGTCTATTATTTCTTTATCAATGAATAAGATATAGGTTTAATGTAACTACTTGATAGCTAGTGATTACTTGAAAATATATAGGGTGATATCTTTAATTGTGGAAAGAACCAATTATTTTAAAAAGTGAAATTATCCTTAAGAGTCTCTCCCCAGTTAATGATATCCCAGCTTCAAGATGGTTTTAGAAAAGGCTAAGGAATGCTGCTGATCCAT